GTTCATAATACTGCAAAAATGTAAATATTGCAATACTTTCATCAGTGTCCCATCGGCCTGTGTTACATCAGTTTGAAAGAAAATCTTTGAAATCGTCACAATCAGTTGCCTCATATCTGTTTCAGCGTATTCACGTGTTGAATCAGATCGTAGCGTGTTAGACGTTGGTCCACTGGACATAATATAGTAAGATATGTACCAAAGAGCCTATAGAATGACTGATGTACTCTACTTATCTCTAAAACCATCAAAGTGATTTGATTTCATGCGAACACAAGGGCTGGACAAATCTTCCCGGTTGAGCCTGAGTCCTGTCTGTAATTACCTCATGCATGTAGATGAAAACTGGTCAAATACGAAGCCCCACGCTGCGACCGTGTTTGAGATAACCCAGCTGCCGTCCGTCTCTGAAGGTAATCCACATCCGACCGAGGTGGAATTAGAGGTTCCTCGGAGAGGGGGGCAAAAATAGGACTCGCTGCACCGGTGTTTCAAGTGCGAATATGTCCTTCATCCTCGGGCTAGCAGTATCTTCTCATCTGCACTTTGTGTTGCATTCGTAGTTAATTGAATGATAATGCAAACCATTTTAGATGAGGCGACGGCATTAGCATACACGCGCCTCAGCCAAAGTGGAGTGAGGATGGAGGATTCCAAAGTTAAAAGTTGACAAGAGAGAAAGTGCATTAACGGTGCTCGAGTGTTCTCACGCAGTAATGCAGAGCTTCGCTGTGTGTTTAGCCGAGTGGATTGAATTGATGTATTATTTGACCATTTCAAATGTAATAGCGTTACACTCGGGGCAGAGCACAAGAAGGGAGGAGCCGGGAGGTAAGATGAAGATCGATCGTGCAGAACTGGCACTGTAACATTAGCGATGCTGCATGGATGCTCTATTTCTCTCTAACAATTTCTCCTGACCTTTTACTTGAGGAGACATTCATGCACTCCTCTCCCTCAAGATCAAATGTCTGCCCTCCTCATAACATCCTCTCTATTTCCCCTTGAGTTGGCAGCCAGCTTTTGCATAAGACAGCCTTTGTGTGGTTAGCAAGGCGCACAGTGGAGTATCTTAACACGGCTTTTTTAGCTTTGGTCTTCTGAATGCCTCAGAGAGGTCCAGGGGGCACAGCAGATACTTCCAGCTCCTTTCAAATTTGAATGACTAGAATATGCAGCATACCTGGTGGAAACAAAGAATATGGTTGTTGAAGAACATTAGCACACTTTATCCCTGGTTTAAAAAGCTGTTTTCAGATATGAACTATTAAAACATTTATTACAGAGTTTATCCTTTTGGAGCTGGGTCAGGTCATTCAGACAACTGGGATTTCAGTTTCAGTTTTCAAGTTAAGAGTTTTAATGTCCTGCTCTTTCTTCCAACTCTTCTTCTTTATCTTCTCACACTCATTTCTCTCCAGGGTCTAGTTCCAAAACACAAAAAGCTGGAATATGTGGATTGATTGATTGAATTCTCCAACACGATAAATCAGCAGCATTTGTTTTTTTGCATCACAACCTTTTTTCCTCTCATCTAAATTGTCTGTTTTTTGCAGACTGTCATTGACATAACAGCAGATGTCAAACCACGGCGCTTCAGCCTCAAAGTGGCCCAATACTTTCATTAATTGACATCACACAAAGTAATCTAATGAATAGAAAGTGCCCTCAGACCATAGACACCCACTCACCCCCCCCCACCTCGCTCACACATGCACACAGAGCAGATGTTTCACGTAATGGGAGCACAACAGGAAGAGAATTCAATTCAATTTGGCCTGAGGTCTAATAGGACATCAAGTGGAAGAGGAAGGCGATAGGGTTTCACACTGGAAGCCCATCTGTGTCCATGCCCCCCCCCCCCCTCCTCCCACCTTTTAAACCCACCTACCCACTGATGTTGTTAGCCTGAAAGGAGGCAAGAGCACCCTGATGCATCGTGGGCTATAATCACCTTCTCGAATGACACCGCGACGCCCTGGAGGTTGAGAGCAAGGGGCAGGGATTTGTGTTGTTTGATGGCATTCACTGCGTGTATTGTTATTGTACAGTTTCATTGCATTTAAAGGGGATTAGGAGACGCCTGGGTGGTGGTCAGGTGACCTTCAGGCCTGACATCAAAGTATCGGTGTCACTGCGGGTTCACGGTTCTCAGCGTTTCGCCAGAGGCAACAAACAACTGTGCTTTCGGCGCAAGATAAACTCGATACACTTGAGCAATGTTCTCCAGCAACAGCCACTGAACCTGTTATTAACACTTTCCTGTTTCTGATTGAGTTCTTCATGTAACACAAAGGCCGACAATATCTGTAGATATATAGCTTTAATTATTATTGTAATAAATAATGGACGCTACATCTCTGGACTGCAGGAGTGTGCTGTTTAATGCACATTTATCACAGTGGAAGGTGAGAAAATCAATGTTTTCACAGCAGATGAAGAAAAAATGGGTCTTTCCCTCCTCAGAGAAAATGGTCCAAAGTATGAAGCTACTTAGATCATGAAAGAAAAGTGATTGTGGAAATAACCTTGGAATTTGTTGCGTAAAAAATCAATATTTACTGTTTAATCATTGGGAAATGTTCTTGTAAAGGGTTAGAGCCAGTGTCAGAAACACGACACAAAGATCCATCTGTATGACCACCGCAGTATAAATACTTTTAATAGTATTTGTTTTATTATCTTAGTATTATATTTCGGTGTTTTATCTCATTCTTGGGGTCATTGGCTCCATAATTTTTTCTCCCAGCTCCTCTAAACCTGTTTGAGCGAATCCAACAGATGAATTTTATTGCACCGATGATGCAAACAGTTGAATATTGTGTCGTCATTGGCTTCCACGGGCTCAGTTAATGTCGGAAAACTGTTTGGAGTCACAATTGTACATTTAACATGTTTCCTGATGTGGCCCGACAGCCTCCCTGCGCCGAAACCGACAGATGCAGGAGAGCGAGAGAGACGCAGTCAGACGGAAACTGCTTTAAAAACGAAATTACCATTAAAACACCGTAGCAAGCTGGATGCCATTTTGTTTTGGGCTGTTTGGCCAGCAGCAGGTGCTTGTGGAACACATGGAGACACATTCCTTTAAGTGCCTTGCTCAAGGCCAGCTCGACAGTAGTTTCGGAGGCAGGGGAGGATGATACACATTAACTTTTAAAAGTCCCAGCAGATCCTTGGATTCAAGGTTTCTCGGAGCTTCAGGCTGCTGCGGCCTCCAGACACGGTGAGATAGATGGAGCAAAGTGGCGGGTAATGCAGTTCCAATATCTACTTACTTTTTAACCACGGTGATAAAATCCTATTGAGCTTTAAAGAGTGGAGAGGAAAAACACGCCTCCTTGATATTACGATGGGCAGACACATGTATTCTCATGTGGGAGGCACATATTAGATTTTTCTTTCTGAAGGCCAGCGTTACCTGACGTTCTGTTTTTGTTTTTGTCTGATTTTGGAGAATGTCCTCAAAAAAAGTCCCACTCGGACATTATCCAGACTTTTCACTAGGGGGCTTGCGGGAGAAACTCCGGAGAATGTCCGCAGAGCCACTTGTGTTCTCACACACAGCCCCTCCGGAGATTGAGTTGAGTTCAGTTCATGTGTTTTGATTATTTGTTAGTTTGCAGAAAAAACACAAGAAAACCACTAAACTTTGAATTTAGTGGGAGGATGTGGGAGGGGCCTGGAAAGAACTCATTACATTTTGGTGCAGATCTGGAATCAGGACGTTTTCTAACATTTGGTTGTGGATCTTGATGAAAACAATATTTATCCGTATATTTAGAGGACTGATATGTTTAAGTATTTGTAATTTGGTGCAGCTTGATTGAATGTTAGGGGACTGTTGGACCTTGTTGGTGGTTTGTACTCTCTAAGTGCACTTCTGGTTTTCTTATGTTGATTGTTAGTGGTACAGTATCCAGTTTACGGTTTGAATTGCAGCTTTGGAGTGTGAAGCGTTCTGTTCGAGCAGACCTGAAGGAAGTTTGTGCACCGCTGCACATATTTGTCGCTTTTAATTTTGATCAAGACGAGAGCAGCTCCTCTTTCTGAACACGCACGCATTCCAACGTGCACACATTCCTGTGAGGTAGAGCACGTTCGATAAAGACTAGACGGCCTCTAAGTAGCTTCTCTCATCATTATAGTTCCTGCAGCCTTCTCTATGGCTACGACTGCTCATTTGTAAGTGCGGGATGTTTCCCCGGCTGCGGCTTCATCTTTTGTTGCGCCCACTGTTTGCCATTCAGTTTATGGGGCCCACACACACACACTCAAACACACACACACACACTCACACACACACCCATGAATCCCTCTCTCTTTTATTATGGGAATTCCAGGCACATGTGAGTGGAGCAGGGAGGCAGTCCAGATCCCCCTCCCCCTCCAGCTGGTATCCCCTCATTCTCATGGATTTCTCATGGGGCTAAAGCAGACGAAAGGAGGGGGGAGAAAGAGGAGGAGGGGAAGTAGGAGAAAGAGGAGGAGAAGGGAAAGAGAGCTAGGCTAATTCATCAATAATCTTTACCTAATCCCTCCCTCTCCCCTTCTCCCTCTCACTTACTCTCTCTCTCTCTCTGCCTGGAGGCATTCAAGCAACACATCCATCCCCCGCCCCACCTCACACACACACACACACACACTCACAGCCCTTAAACTCACTTGCATGCACACACACATATGAGTCTGCCCGAACACGTCCAGAGGGAGAGGATGAATCGGGCTGCAGAGTGTTATTTCTTTCACCTCCGCCTGTGAGTGTGTGTGTGTCGGTGTGTGTGGTGTAGGTCTCGTCCTCTGAGGGTTGTGTGTCTTAGCTCTGACCGGGAGCTAAAATGGTGATTATAGACTAGAGACTAGGTGTGGCAAGATGGGGCGGCGTCAAAGGCTTTGTCTGTAGTTCCCGTACAGCCCACCAACCGGGAGGAGGCTCTGCCTGTCTATCAAGAGCCCGTCCTGGAGCCACGCTCAGTCTGGGATTGAAAGAGCCGCTGCGTGGGGCTGAACCACTCTTAAACCAAGACTCAAGCCACGGGGATTTAGACAAGCACAAGTTCAAGAAGCCCAGAACCTTTGAGGCCGGCTTCAAGAACATGACCAAGTGAAGAACCGCCGGAGCATATTGCTGTTTTTCTTTTTTTCCTCCCACCCTCATTTATTCCTCTTTTGCAACACATGGCAAAGATTTTCTTCAGAGAAACCCAAAGAAGACAAACTTCTGTGGAGCGCCCGCTGAGGAGCAAACCCAACTGAGGAGGCTTTTTCTTCAGGGGGAATTAAACAGATTCTTCTTCTTCTTCTTCACGTTTAAAGAATGAGATCTCAATGAGAAAACCATTTGGAATATGGGACTTTTAATATTTGCTTTGGACCATGGGGACAGGCAACTTTGTTTTTGTGCTCAGCTCTGGGTCATTTTGATAAGTATGTCACATTTATTCAGCTCGTTCTTTCCTGACTTTTAGCCGTTGACTTGTTGGATGTGACACATGTTGGACTCAAACTTTAATATCTTTCTGTTTTTAAAGTGATTGTGTGGGTTTTAGATCAAATTGGTGAAAAGCTGTGATTGTATGAGTTGTTATCTCCCAGAAAAAGATCACACACCTTGTTGATGTTGATTCACTGGACGACCTCTGACCTGGATGCTCGACATGTATTGGCCTATTATCATCTGATTAGCGTGTGTTGACCTCATGCTCCTCCTTCCTCTCCTGCTGCCTGAGCAGTGACTTCCTGCTTATATCTCATTCATTATTTCCCTAAATCGACCTCTCCTCTCAAACTTTAACCTTTTATTTTGATGAGTGATAAAAGTTTTTAAAAAGTTGTCTTTAAAAGTTTAACCTCTCTCTTCTTCTTTCTGTCTTCGCAGCCCTTGCGGGTAAAATCTTTCCAACCAGCTCGGATGCCCTCCTCAGCTCCTCGGCGATGACAGCCAGCCAACCACCACCCAACGTGTACCTTCCCGCCAACTTCAAAATGTCCAACGCACAACTGGCCTTCTTTTTACGAGAGGTCCAGATCACAGGACAAACCGTTGGCGTTGGCGGCGGCGGCGGCAGTAGGAGCAGCAGTAGCCCCAGCGCTGGACACCCGCTGCAGCGAGCTGAGAGTTTTGTGGTTTTCCAGACAAAAGACCTCCCTGCCATCAACATAAGCTTTGGGCCTTTCGCCAGAGACCAGGCTCTCTCCAAGGAGTTGCTCCAGCCAGCTAGTCCTCTGGATATTCCCGGGCAGCTGACAGTCAACTGGAAGGTGCGAGCCTTCATTGTTCAGGCCCGCGTCTTCTCCAACAACCCCACAGTCCAGGTGTTCTTCTACATCGCGGGCCGAGACTGGGATGACTTCAAGGCTCAGGACAAGATGCCCTGCGTCCGTCTGCACGCCTTCCGGGATGTCCGTGAAATTAAAACCTCCTGCCGCATGAAAGGCAACCTGGCACAGTGCTTGGCACAGCTGGATCTGCCTCCGTCCTGGTTTAACACCAACGTGGCCCCGCTGGGCAGGAGGAAAGGCTCTGGTGACGGGCTCTTGGACGGGCTCACCAGTGAGACCCTCCAGGCTGAGCTGTACTACACTCTCCATGAGCCCAATGTGGAAGGGGAGTGCAGTGAGGGCTCAGGTCACAGGGGTGGTGGGACTTCCAGGGGAGAACCTCTGTCACAGCACCCCCTGCTGCGCATTGGGAGCATCAGCCTGTACCAGGCCAGTCAGGAGCAGCTGCTGGTGGACAAGCAGTTGGACAAGAACATGTTCCTCAGGCTGCCCGAGAAGCCCCTGAAACCTGGGGAGACCCTCACGATCTTCCTCTACTTGATGCCCAACTCCACTGTGGAGCAGTTCAGCCTCAAGTAAGTCTGATTTAGAAAGCACACTGAAGGCACAGTCTGAGGGCCGCTACCAAAATGATTCTGCCTGAATGTCACATTTAATGTTTTCATATTCACACGTTTAACCGCCGGAGAAGAAAAATATGATCAAGCTGTTCACTTGCACAGGAGAGACTCATCCTGAGTTTCCTTGTTTTCATGCAACCATGAAAATCACGAGAATTATCGATGAATAGATTATTTTGCAGCTTCCTGGTCGACGCCAACATGAGTCATTTCTCTCCAGTCATAAACTCCAGTCTTATATCTCTCTTTATAATTACGCTCACACATAATCGTCTGCAATTTGTCCAAGGTTTATGCTTAAGGCGGCGAGGCTGCATGTAAACAAAGCTATGCAGTCTGAATGCCGCATCGTGTAAAGTCTCCAGTTGACAGGCTTATAGGAAATATAGGATTTACACGTCCAAATAGCCCACAATTAATGGAATCATTATCACAGCACAGTCTCATTACAGCTTCTATCTCCAGCCAGGTTCAAGGCAGCACAATTAGATAAAGGTTATTACATAATATCCAAATTAATTGTGGAGTTTAATGCTATTATAAGATCATAGCGGGCTCGTTAATTGTGGCCGATGGTATGTAAATCCAGTTCATGCGATATTCTGTGTTCGAGCACACGAGCTGCAGCGTCATTTGTGTTCATTTTAGGCCAAATGAGCGTGTAATCACATATTTCACCCTTCTCATTCATTTCTCCTTCACCGCGCCAAGCGACGTGCCAGGAGTAATTAAAGCCAGGTGAGATAAAGTGGAGACGACGGGGTTAAAGTGTGGCAGCACTGTGCCGTTCACCTTCTGAAGTGGTGGCGCAACACTGAGAGATTTATTCTTTTCCTCTCAGGACAGGACCGTGTGAATAATTTCCAGGGAAGTGCTGCTCAAAGCAGTTTGTGTTTTAAAGCTCCAGACCTGTGTTTGACCAGGTAATGCTCATGGATCACACTGAAATGGCCCAGCATCAGTAAACCATCGTGTTTCATACTCTTACTGCACTGGAGACCTAAATCCTCAATATAGAGGAAAATATTATCACTGATGTTTTAACTTCT